TCATTATTAAACTTAAATTAAATTATAATAAAAATTTAATTAGAGAAATTACATAAAAAATGAGAACTTTTAAATAGTTGATTTGATATTAATGTATACCGGAGAGAATAAGCGGATATCATCAATGTATACCGGCGTATTGTGGAGAATGGGTTCAAATGTTTTTACCATAGCCTTTTGGAAAGCTGATGGAGCGTTTTTTAACCCGAACGACATCACCTTCCATGGTAATGATGATCTGGAATACAGAAGGCAGTTTTTGCCCTGTCTTTAGGAGTTATGCCGAGTTGCCAAAATCCGGCTTTTGGATCAAACTTAGATAGTACTCTTGCATCTGCCAGGGATTGGAACAACGACTTCTTTTGGGGAAGAAGTGATTGAGAGGCTGATAATTTATCACCAATCTTAATTTACCACGAACTTGTTCACTTCTCTTGTTGACATAAAACGCTTCACATGCCCATGGCGATGTAGTCGGCTCTATTATCCCTTGATCAATGAGTTCTGAGCATTCTCGAACTGCAAGTTGATAACGGTCAGGATTCATTCCGGGATGGCTTGTTTTTGTTGGGTTCATGTCTTCATTCTGTTTGAATGAGAGGGTAACAAGGAATGAAGGGTTTAACCATAATGGGTTTTTATTTTTTGTAAGGAACTCAACATGGTTGGAGGCACAAGAGGTCTGGATAATTTGTTGTTTGAGAGTTTCCATGGTAAGAGTAGAGGTCATGTAGAACCTTTGGATTGGACTTCAATGATTTAGAAAACTCTTATAACAGAGACCTTGTTCAGCATATCTCAACCCGGTAGTTTATGGAGGATATCGAACCCGATCAGTAGATCCTTTCCATGTAAATTTGATCCCAACAATCTGGTTTTTATGACGCACTTGGGAAAGAGTCTAATGTATACCGGGATACTTATCATGTCAATGACGAACGTGTCACCATTGGCTGCTAAGAAGTGCTGATGATGCGGTTTTCGGTAATTACTAGGCTGGATGTCAGGATTTAATATCGAAACTGAGGATCCTGTATCAAAGAATGCAATAACTGGGATGGGTTTGGCATATGTGGAAGTAAGCAGGTGGACTTTTGCTAATGGTACTGGCTGCGCTTTTTGTAAGGGTAGTATCTGAGGGGTAATGGGGTTTTGAGTAGGGAGAGAAATATGAGGAAGTGGAAGAGTTTTTGCCATAAATACTCCGATATCAAAATATCCTTCTGAATAGTCTAAGTTGTATTCTTATTCAGATGAAGAATCAGAATAGGTAATCGTGCATATCGTATGGTCCGCTGGTTCATCATCAAGGGAGTATAAAGATTCAAGATCAGAAAGATCGACTGGTTCAATCTTGCTAAGTGTCTGAATTAGTGCTTGAGACTTCTTCTTATCTTTACAATCCTTGGCGAAGTGTCCTCTTCTATGGCAATTGTAACATCTGTCAGTGGTTTTTCCTCATCGTGATTTCTTCCTCATGAATTTCCACTTCTTCCTTCAAGAGAACGACTTTCTTCTTTTGAAGGAACAATGGGTGCTTGGATCCTCTGAACCTCTTGAAATGAGACTTCTTCCATTTATGAGAACATTCACAATTGGATTTGTCTTTGCATTTTATTTGGAGGTATCTTTCATCACAGGCTGCTCCAAGTCGCTTACCCGTTTTTTCAATGTCTGATAAGAATCTTTTTTGGTTGCAGAGTTTGGTGAGGGCGTTGAGTATCAATTGATAAAGCCCACCAAGTGAGGTTTGTGCGACTGAGACATTTTTTTGATTCTAGGAACTTGTTTACCTCATTTGCAAGGGACTCTGGGAAGGAGTTTATGAAGACTTGTTTGAGATTTGTATCGTCGACACCATTAAGGCAATAGAATCTTTTTGACATTCGATCATAATGTCTTTCAAGGTCCTTTTTCATGAATGAGCAGCACTTCATTTTCAAGAAATCGTCTCTTGCCTGGGCTGTGTGCTCGACGGGGTTGCCAATGAATTCCGTATAGATTATATGGATGAACCCTTAAGGAGAATGTGATTGTTGGATCTGGATCTGTCTATATTCTACAAGGCTCTTGTACCAATCTCGGAGGTGACCTTGAGTTCTGGTTAGGAATCTTTTGATGACTGTGCCAATGTCATAGAATTGAAGTTCAGTTGAACACCAGCTTAACATCTCTATGCTTCTGTCTCGGCATTGGGACGGTGGGATATCATCAAAGGTGAATTGTAGTTTTGAGTCACCTTTTGGAGTCTTGGCTCTTCTAGGTGGTGTCGTCCTGGAGGCGGCATCTTCTGGGCCATTATTACTATCCGAATCATTTCGTACAGTGGATTCTGGCTCCATCATGAACAAATGTTCAAAGGCTTCAGCGGGATCAAAGGCATTTTCTTCATGTGGTACAGGGTTGATAATTGGGACAACAATTATGGAATTTGGGTTCTTTTGGCATTGGGCTAATGATTAAAGGAATGTAGAAATGGGGTTTGGTTGATTTATCGGGAAGACATTTGGGGGTTTTGAGGAGGCCGACATCGAAGTATCATCAGGCATAGGTTCTGTGGTCGAGGTTACCACTGTCCTATTTGGAGCTAGAGATGATCCTGTAGAGAATCGGGAGGCTTTGGCCTTCAGTTTTTGTTTTTCTGTGGACCATAACGAAAGGGATGGGGAATTTTGTCTAGGTGGTGGTGGAGGGGGTGGTTGTGGATCGAAAGATGTTCTGACAAAAGGTGTGGAGGGTAATCTCCATGGATCATCAACAGAAGTTGATATCCTTTGTTGTTTGTGCAGTCTTTCAAGATCAACAAGTTGGTTTTTTAAGAAACTTCATTTCTGCTTCTTTTTGGGCGAGGGTGGCTGATGGTTGGGAAGGAGGAATGTCACGAACTAATTGGAGTAGTTCGTTATGGAGTTCTTGCATCTTGATCTTGATCTCGTTGATCATTCCCTCAAGAGATTGAACTCTTGTGGTGAGGGTTTCCTGTGTCTTCATGGACTTCGTTTGTTGAGCTAGGATTGTTCTCAAGACTTGGTTCTGAGCGACTAACATTTTCACTCTGCGAATTGAGGGTGGCTTCAACAGCAGTGATGGAATCAGAGATACCTGTAGAGCTTATGGTCATGGGTGATTTTATTTTCCACTCATGCTTGGTTCGTTGCTGAGTATTTTCAAAAGGGCTTAGTGGGGGGAAAAACTCAGCTTGGTATTCGGATGATGATGTTGTTGGGGTGATGACACAACATTCCTTTTGGGCTCGCTTTTGGGGACTTTTAGGGAGTGGATTATGACAAGCTTCACAGGTCGTGATTGGAGATTTTCCATAGAGAACATAATAGTCGAACTTTCCTGATGGTTCACCAAGAAGTCCTACCGTACCGTAGGTTCTCCTGCTTCATATCTCTTTTTTAGCTTGTGTTGAGAACCCTTCCTTTTTGGAATGTCTTCATCATACTCAACTCGGTATACCTCATGTAGGCATTCTTGACAATAGCAAACGTCATAACTTGGTTTAGTGATAGGTATTCTAGAATCATCTGGGACATAAGAAATTTCATATAATTGGTCTATTTTAGAGGCAGAAGACTGTCTAAAACTAGAAGAAGAACGTGATAAGCTATGGTCTTGATTCATGACTTGGTTTAGCACTCCTTATTCTATCTATCCTGTTGTTGAGACGCTGTGACTTCTCTCTACGTCTACTTACGAACTCTACTAACAAGGAAGATGGAAACAAGAAAGTGCAAATTAGCAGAATCTCTGGCTTATATCTTCAATTTCTTCTCTATAGGATGGTTTTCTGATGTGAGATATCCGTGCATAGACGGCAGTCACAGAGCACACTAATCCAATCATATAGAAAGATGAAGACGGGTAAAGATTAACAAAGGGAGGGCTCTGGGACTGGGAGATTAGTCATGTTAAAAGATGACTAAGAAGATGACTAAAACTAAGAAACAAGAATAAATAGAACATTAATCTTATGTGTGGGGTTGATCATAGAGGAGTATTCATAATCTATCTGACTTTTTGTATGTCATTGTAGGATGGCCAAGGATGGATCCAAACTTGGGCCATCTCTTAGCTTCAACGAGTGCAATTCTACCAAGTATTCTGTCCGACCTCAAGATATGAGAATTTCTTCATATCATTAGCAAAACCAAGAACCAAAGCTCATCGCCACCACCATCCACTTGCACACATAAGACTATTTATCAAGACAAACAAACCCAATCGAGATGTGGGTTTTTCTTTCAAAATCTCACAATCGCATTGAATCTTGTCCGTAGATTCTTTGTAACTAAAGAGGAGAAACTTGTGAGTGAGTTTTGAATTTGGTAACTGGATATTATGAAATGAGTTTAGGTCGTTGCTTGGTTGTTAGATATAGAAAATATTGGAATTTGAATACCAAGGCTTACCATCTCTGGTCACTTATTTACATCTATGTATGTATATTCTTGTTCCGTTAACTTATGTAGCTTTTCATGTGACCAGGCAAAATCAATAACAGAGGCCGAGGAGAAGTACAACTGCTTACTTAGCACTTTGGATCCTCAACTCTCTCTCAAATATCAAAAACGATGTGAAGAAGCCACGAAAGAAGGTTACAACTAATTACTTCAACAACTAGTATATTAAGACCATGTTTCATAAGCAAACCTATAAGCCAGCTTTTTAAAAAACTACTTCAGATAGCATTTCAGTAATCTGCAGGCGCTTTTTTCACCTTTTTTCCGGTTGTGCCCCTTATATATTGAAATTGGGTAATCTTTCAACATGTTCTTTTAGGTCATTTTAGATTGTCGTCTAGATCATCAACTTGTTTTTACCAAGCCAACACCAAACTTAGCCTAATTTGTTGCATGTGGTTTATATTCACCAAGCAAATTTCATACGTCGACCTTATTGAATAAAAAGAACTTGTTTGGGTAAATCAGCTTTTTGAAAAGCTACTTCATATGATGTTTCACTAAGCTCTAGGTTTTCTTTTCCCTTTCTTTGTTCCAATTATGCCCCTTATATTTTAGAATCTAGTAATGCTTTCAACAAGTCCTTTTAAAAAGTCATTTTGCGTTACCATCTAAACTATCAACTTGTTTTTACCAGAGGCATTCAACTAACAGCTAGCTTTTCTGTAGCCAACATCTATTTAGTTTATCAGGTAAGTTTCCAAATATCGCCTATTTGGTTTATATTCTCAACAAGCGTATTTTGGACGTTTATGTTTCAGGTGGGAAGTTATTGGGTCCGCCTCTTGGGACGTGGAATATACCGCCTATTATCGAAGATGAAGATTTATATAGATATGAGGTCTCAAATGCTATGCCACCAGCTAAGTGAGCCCAGGTACATACATATTAACAGCATAAAGCCTAAACATTTTGGTAGTTTGGGGTCCAAAATATATGGCCATCATTTTAGCTGTAAGTTGCACATGGTTTCAGTTTTCTCTCTCTGCAACTTGTTTTCTACAAGGAGAGTAGAAACAAATATAAAGCCAAAGGTTCACACTTGATTTCTTTTTATATCAAATACTTGGACTCCACTGTTTCGGTATCTTTTTTATTCATATACTAATATTTATATACAGCAAATGGAAGTCACACATCATTCCCGCTTTTAATGAGGTTGAAACCCTCGACCTCTAGAAATGCCGGTGAAAGAAACCATTTTATGTGTTTTAATGGTTTTAGTTAATTATCTACCATTGTTTTCACTAACCACCCAAGTCATGTCCATAGAGTGAATCACATCTTTTGTCCTATGGTTTGGTGTTTTTAATGGATCTTGTCCTTGTTTTGAAATATTAACGAGTTGGGTTCTTGTAGTTGTATTTTTTTAACGAGTGGGGTCTCTAATGCAACGACAAGGACCCAACTCGTTAATTTATTCATGGACTTAACTCATTAAAAAATGAAACCACAAGGAGCCGTCTCTTTAAAATAATGCAACCACGGGAACCCAACACATTAAGTTGTCAAAATAGAGACAAGATCAGGTAAAAACATCAAACTGTAAGACCAAAAATGTAGTTCACTCTAAACTTTAATTTGAGTATTTCTTTGTTCTGTGGTTGGTTAAAAATTGCTATTTTTGTTCTTGTGGTCTCAAAATTACGGTTTTCAAAAAAAAATTACGGTTTTCGTTCCTATGATTTGCGATTTATTGTTTTTTTTCATAACTTATTGTTGTTTTCATCCTTTATACTTAACGGTAAACCATTGATGAAGTTAGTCTGAAAAATAAAAACAGCAATGAATTGTAAACTATAGGAATGAAGACCATAGTCTACTCTTGTTTTCGAGATATATATATATATATATATATATATATATATATATATATATATATAYTTGGGATCATGTGAGACCAGCTTGTTTTCGTGAGACCCGTGAGATCATCTTTTTACATTTGAAACTTCACAGCAAAATGCTGTGAAGGTAAGCTTCACAGTGTTTTTGCTGTGAAGGTTCGACTTTTTTAAACCTTCACAGTGTTTTTGCTGTGAAGTTTCAAGTGTAAAAATGTGATCTCACGGGTCTCATGAAAACAGACTGGTCTCACGTGAACCCAACCCTATATATATATATTTCTCTTAATAAATGAAATGGCCTTGGTTATGAGTTGTGTGACCCCAAAACTTTTCGCTCTCATGTGGAAAATGAAACAACTTTTTAGCTTTTTTGCAATTTGTGGACCTGTAAAAAGAAGGGGTGTGATGTTGGGTATGAGTAGATGTGTTTATAAATTAAGTAAAAAAATTATTTAATTAATATTAAGTGTATAATTGAAAATGATAGGAAAAAACTCCTCGAACTTGTGAAAATGCTACTTTTTACATATGCGATGTGGCGTTTGTAGTAAGCTCGAAAAATAAGGGTATATACTTTAAGGTATTCAAAAACCCGATCAATTCAACATAATCTAATGTGAAATAACTTAATTTGATATTTAATAGAGTTGTAAAATTTTCAAACCATAGGTATTTGATTGATATTAAGTTAAACTCAATCTAATGTCTAATAGAGTTATAAAATCTTCAAACCGTAGCTAATTGGTTAATATTAAGTTCATTTTATTTGAACCCAACCCAACCCGATATCATTTTATTTCTTTTATTTAATATGATTGTTTTACACGATCACGCACTCTCTTCATATACACGTATTTTCAATTTATTCATCATCTTCTATATAACTCATTTGTATATATGTTCATTAACTGTGAGTATATATATATATATATATATATATATATATACACTTGAGATCATATGAGATCAGATTGTTTTCGTGAAACCCGTGAGACCACTTTTATACACTTGGAACTTCACAGCAAAACACTGTAAATGTAACCTTCATAGTGTTTTTGTTGTGAAGGTTCGAAATTTTTTTATCTTTACAATGTTATGCTGTGAAGTTTCAAGTGTAAAAACATGCTCTTACGAATCTCACGAAAACAGGTTGGTCTCACGTGAACCAACCCTAAATGCCGTCATATTAATATAGTGTAGTGTGATTCTAATGCTAGCCGAGCAAGTGTCCCATCATTACTACAAAGTAAATGTATTGATTGCTGATTGAGTCAGTCGTGCTGACAGAGAACAACCCTTTTATAGATTTAGGCAATACCGATTCCAATCCAATCATCTATCAAATATTGGATTTTTCCAACTAATTTATTCCAGGTAACTTTGATCAATTGATCAAATAGTATTGGATCGTCGGTTTCTACCATTAAATATTACTATTGGTTATTTGAATTGGATTCATCTAACATATTAATTCAATTCTTCAATTAATTAATTTATCATTTCAATTAATTATTCATGTATTTTTCGGATTTCATGCCACTTACAAACATCAAAAAGATATCCATATCATGATATTTATATACAAGCACAATCATAAGAAATTTAGTAATGGGTGAATAGTAAATGAAGTCCAAATTAGTATGCAATAGATAAGGAATTTTAAGAATTTTTTTATTTTACAACTTATTTATAATATTGCAAAAGACAATTTGGATGAAGCGTTGATTACCGGCAACCCAAATTAATCGTACATGGAATCCCACCAACAAGGCCATCAATGTGATGGGCATTTTTGGTTCACTCAGTAGCTGAGGCTAATTGGGGGGTCTAGGATCGAACCTAGGGGTGTCAAATTTGTACCAAGACAAACCAACCAATTCTCGTACCAACCGCACCAATTTAGTCGTTAGCAGTTTAATTGGTTGGTAATATCGTACAAACTATTAAAACTTGGTTGATACGTGGTATTAGAAGTTGTGTACCACGGTAATACGGTAAACTTACTTTTTCAAATTATTTATTGATTCAAGTTTAATCAATAATACAACATATTTTGTTTCTAAAAATTGTAATTAACTTATTCTCTATTTTTTTAAAATTATAATACGGACGGATTTACATATTTGAATTTTTTTCTGAATTCATTAGCTTAATCGTAACAACTTTAGTAATTCATACACACCTTTACGTCCATTATTGCTCCTTAATTGCAGCTTGTATTAGACTATTAGTGGCACATCACATATGAACATGTTTCTCAATGCTTCATGGTTTTAGTGTCTTTAGTTGGAAAGGACATCAATAATTCAATATAAATAAATTTGTAACTCCGATATATAATATTGTAAAAAATTATCTGGATAAAACGTTGATTACCGACAACCTCAATCAGCCGTACACGAAATCTGCCAATAAGGACACTAATATGAAGAGACATTTTTGACTCACTGCGCAGTTGAGGCTAATGAAGGTCTAAAATCAAACCCGAGAGTGTATTGATATTTTGAACCTGACTCGATCCGAATTTAATCAGTGAATTCTGAATAAATCGAGTGACTAGATTCCCTATCTGTAAGTATGAAATTGATATGAAGTTCAATTCAACATATAGATGTGGGTTCATTTATACAAACTCCCTTCATAGAATTGATCTTCAATAAATTTATCCTTAGGGCATTTACGGTCCATCGCTATAAATACTAAAATGGAGGTGTTTTCTCCTTTAATTCATCATTAAAATACTGAAAAGAAATGGAGGTCATCGACATCGGCTCCCATATTGGGAGATAAAAAAAGTTGAACTCTATTTTCAAATATTAATATTATAATAAATTTTTATAGTTATAACAAATACATGTGAAACTATCATATTATGAAACAAGTATATATGAAACTATCACATTTTGAAACAAATATATGTGAAACATTATCTTAAATTATAGTTTTTAATAAAAAAGATCATATAAAAATATTTTTATGTCCGTTCTTACGAGTTTTTGACCTTTTGTGGTTATCATTTGATTATCTCCCTATATATATATATATATATATATATATATATATATATATATATATATATATATATATATATA